CTGGGATGGCTACCTAAATAACTGGACCATTTCCCTTCAAACAAGGAAAAAATGTGCCAGATAGTCTATATAGAAGAGTGGCAAAGTGTGACTCTGGGACCACATGTGACCCCTCAGGCAGTTTTGTGCCTTCCTGTCCTTCAACAGTCCCCCTTTTTCCAGCAAATAAATTGCTTGTTTTAGAAGCTGACATGAATAGTATTTCATATTTTAAATAGGGTCCTCTCTACCTTTTAACAGTGAAAGGCACTGGGTTTTCAAAACTGGAAGTTGACATATAGCCCATTTGGATTTCTTCCTCTCTCTCTCTCTCTCTCTGGCATTATGGCCAGTCTGTGTGAGCCCCAGAGAATTCTGGAAGCAGAAAATTGGACTCATGAAAGTTTCCCATCCTTATTTACAGAATCATTGCTTTAAGTCAGTGCAGAAGCTTGTCTTTCATAGTTTTTGTGCTAAATCCCGTGTAAGCATAAAAAGTATTTACTAGCTTGGCCTGGAGCATCACAGTGGGAGACAGGTTAATTCTGCAGAGCAGTATAGTTTCCATGTTGGCTGGGACTCTTAAGCACTTAAACCTGTAGGACTTTTCACATGAAAGAATTGGACAGGATAACATGACTGTATCCCACCTGTTCTCTGTTTGCTTTTGGGCACACTGTCAAAACTGTGCCGTGAGAGTTTTTATAGGCAAGTGTTATAAAAAGTGACAGTCTTTAAGTGTTCCTAGATTTGAATTTGGCAAAACAAAGGCTCACCTGAAACAGTTCTTGAAAATGTGAGTTATTTATGTCAAGGCAAGAATTTGGCAAAACAAAGGCTCACCTGAAAATGTGAGTTATTGAAAATGTGAGTTATTTATGTCAGGGCAGTCTTGTTGTTTTATCTTTGCCATCATGTTCTCCACCACTGGAGAATCATTTGTCCTGCTTCTCATGTCTAAATCTTATGTATCCTGCATCATTCTCACAAACTGAGGGATGTATCAAGAAGTTTGATGGACTTTGAGGTTTGAAGTAATATGGGGCTATTCGTATGGGGCTGTGGAATTATGGTGAGTGGGGGAATAGTTCAATGTGGTCTGGGCATGCTTAGCAGCCATAGAATGCTGACTGACCGTTGAGGATGGAGAAGTAAAACCAGCTAGAAAGGAGGGTAGTATGGGGTATGCTAGAGAGAGACGTGATTGACTGAATGGGAATAGGAAGGAGAAGCAGTCTACACCACAACACTTTGTTGTAACTTCCAGTTATGCCTTTATTTTGGATTGGATTATACAGTGCAAAATCTGAGGGAAAACCTTTTCCATTTTTGATTCAGTGAACGCTTGGAAATGAGTACAACTGTTTGTTTTGGCATGGAAGCACTGAAAGACGTAACAGTCCTAACTTCCTAAATCAGACTCTTGGAATGAGTATAAGGCATTTGTATACCTACCTACCATGTTTCCTTGAAATAAGACATGGTCTTATATTAATTTTTGCTCCAAAAAAAGCATTAGGTCTTATTTTCAGGGGATATTTTTTTCATGTACAAAAATCTACATTTATTCAAATACAGTCATGTTATCTTCTGATTGCTGCACAATGGTCGAGGGCAGGGTTTCACTGAACTGAGGCTTACTGTATTTTTGGGGTAGGGCTTATATTAAGAGCATCCAGAAAAATCCTACTAGGGCTTATTTTCAGGTTAGGTCTTATTTTCAGGGAAACAGGATAACTACTCATAATTTCCCTTCACATATTGGATTTGATATTGTTCCAACCCCGGTCTGTTTAACCTACGATTTAGTTGGGAAACTGTTTTGTGATATCAATTTACTGAACATGTTCTTGAGCTATGATCTGATCTTGATTTAAGATAAGATCTTTGTTCATAAACCATCATTAAACCACAGTTTACAATTTCCAATGCAACAGGGTTCCCATTTGTTGAATATGTACCAACCCAGCATGCTATGCATGAACTAATTACTAACCCAGTTGGTCACTTGATGCACGTTAGAAGAGAAAACATCTCTAGGAACATGAACTTGTTTATTCACTTCTTCTTAAACAAGCAGTCAACAGTTCTATTTCCTTTCCAACATGAGATGCTTAACACTCTTCACTACAAGACAGTTTGTATTCAGTTAATTCTTGTTGCTTGTCCTCCATCTTGTGAAGCAGATGTTATGTTGAGCTCTCTTCTTATCCATGGGTTTGAGAGAGAAAGATAAACTATTTTCTACCATGTTAATGAACTAAATGATTCTTCTTTTTACTACTAATGATCCCATGTCTTCGTGTCAGGTTTTTGAGCACATAATTTTGTAAGTAAATATTATTTCCTCTTTTTATTATTGCCTGATTTATTTTTATTATAATTATTATTTTGCTATTCTACTTAGATAAGGGGAATTCTTGGGAAACATGCTAATAATTCTAAGCTTAGGTGCCCCATTTTTTTTTGCTATACAACCACACAAAACTCAACACCATTAAGGAAATGAGAACTGTGTGGGTCCTGGTTTAATAAATTATAGTTACATCTTCAAACCTATTGTGGTTATGTTACACTGCTGGACCTTTTTTGTTTTAATTAGTCTCTAAAATCCCTCATTGTAGTACTTAGACACATTACTGTGCAAAATGGATATCTAATTGCAGTCATCTGCATACATCTCTCCTGTTGAAAAATGAGCTTGAGTTTAAACATGTTTTAAAATTGATAATCTCAGCCAAACCTAGTGAAACTTTAAAAGAAAAACTGTACCAGATAGAGTGTACTGGATTTTTTTAAACAGAGAGTAGGGTCAGCTGTTTGATAAAGTAAACCAGTCTTGCTTATTCAGAAGTAATTGGCTCTGTGACATTTTTGGTATATTTCTTGGATTTAACCTTGTACTGATATAAAACATATATGTAGAAAACAGCCAGTTATGCATCTGAAAAATGTTCCCCTTTTTCCTAATAACCCTCTATTGGTACAAAATGTAACACCTGTACAGTGGTTTGAGGGAATCCATAATTACCCCAGCAAGTCTGTAAAAGGAGAAAAAAAAAAAACATAACTGTGTAAGATTTAGGAGAGTTGCCTGCCAAAGAATTTTGAGCTGTTAAAAGTTCTGAGGCCCAGTTTTAAAATCAAAACATGTAAAGTGTTAATATTTGTATAAAAAGCTTGTTTAGACTTAAATCCGAGTATTCAGGAACAGCAGTTCCAATCTTATTATGTGAATATGAAAAAATACTTTTCCTTGTTGGTGCAATTTGAAGGCAAAGCTAGGAGAAGGAACATTTTTATCGTGGAAAAATAAGCAGCGCTCTCCTGCAGTGCTAATGGATGGAGGTCTTAGGGCAAGATTAGTCACTCACTGTGGGGTTGGCCGTTGATTCTCTTATTTTCCACATTTGTGTTTAAAGTCACATCTTCAGACATGTTAAGCTCTTTAATACTTCTTTATTGGTGACTTCCATTTACTGTGTGCGAAGTGCTGAGTCTTGTAAGGCAGTGGTCCCCAACCTTGGGCCTCCAGATGTTCTTGGACTTCAACTCCCAGAAATCCTGGCCAGCAGAGGTGGTGGTGAAGGCTTCTGGGAGTTGTAGGCCAATAACATTGGGAGACCCAAGGTTGGGGACCAATGATGTAAGGCATGCAAGGTCTTCACATGAACAGGGATGAATGTGTTAGATCCCCCCCCCGCCATTACCAGTGTCCTCATCATTCTTCAGGGATTGGAGGCAAAGGTCTCCCTGCAGCAGGGAAGGCAATGAAAGCATTTCATGCTCTCCTGGAAGCAATGAAGACCATAGTACAGGCGAGGAGCCAATGCTTTCTTTGCTACTGTTCTCCCTTATCGTGAGTAGGGTATAATGTTGTCCTGATGATGTTTTCTGCTTAAAAGACTATTAACAGCATAAGCACAGTAAGATTACTTGTGAAGACCTGCTTGACAGGCAGGTTCCCAAACTATAGGATAAACTAACCTTGAGTTGTGATCAACTCCTTTTCTCACTGCTTTTGAGAAAGAGGTTGAGATACATCTCTTCCAACTGACTTTTTAAACTGTTTCATTATACAAATCGTGTTGATCATTGTGATTTTAATGGTCTCTTAAAATTTGTTTTTAATTTCTTCTAATTTGTTTTGATTTGTTTTTAATTCCATCTAATCTGTTTCTAATTGCTTTTACCTTGTTTCTAAAATGCACTGAGCATGATTAGTCAGTCAAAAGTCAAGATAGAAATGCAGTGCGTCAACAATAATTAAATAAAGGCAGAAAAACAGCATCTGATAAGAGTTGCACAGATGAACTTGGGAGCCATGAAAGGAAGAATAGAGGACTCCCATCACCTCACATTCAGGCTTGTTTCTAAAAAAAAAAACCTTGTGAAGACCAATGTACCGTGTTATAAAGCAAGGCGGGTTGCTGTTTGGAGGCTTCCCATATTCTAGAACTGGACCTGGGAATGTTGTTAAGTGCAGTTTGGAAGATTTCCTCTATGGCCCTATCCTTATTTGCACCGGACAGCGTGAGATGCTGTAACATAGTAGCAAAACCTCAGAAAGTCACCCGGCACCTTAAATACTAATTTATTGCTGCTTAGACTTTTTAAAGCTCTAAGCTTTACTTCATCAGTTACAGTTATCAAGTTACTGGGATTCTTGCTTGTAGCATATAATCAAGCTGCATGCCTCCCCTTTCTAAGCATAATCCCTTTTTTCTGCTCTTGCAGTCATTCTAATTCTTACTCAAAGCTGACCGATATATCCACTTCCTCCACTTTATCTGCTTTCATCCCAGTCCCATAAACTGGCTGAAACAGCAACAGCAACAGGGGTCGGAGTTTCACCAGTTACTATTTCGAGTTTTATGAGATCAGCCAATTTGGCTTATGTTTTTTAATACTTTGAAAAAAAATCGGTGAAAGTGTATTCATTGACAGTTGTTGGAAATTTTGTTTCCCCACTCTGATTTCCTCCTCCTCCTTCTGCACCTGCCTGTTGTCCACTTTTGCAGAGCCACCAACCAAATATCAAATCTCTCAGTCCGAGGCACACTCTGCACTTCCAGGAGATACTCTGAAGTTGCGCTGTCAGATGAAAGATGCCACCACAATCACTTGGACTAAAGATGGGGTCCGTTTGTTGCCCAACAATCGAACAGTCATGACTGGGGAATACTTGTGGATTAAAGATACTACACCCAGGGATTCAGGCCTTTATGCTTGCACATTTAGGACTGTAGAAAGTGAAACCCTTTACTTCATTGTAAATATTACAGGTGAGTTGGCCATAATGAAGCTTTAACTATGTACAAACAATTCTGGTCTAAATTGGCTGTACAGGAACATAAAGTCATATGTTTAAGGAATGTTCTGGTTGTATGTAGAATTCACTAAATTACCAATCTGCCGGTGCTCTTAGATTGTCTGAACACCTTTTTATGTGCCTTCTTGTCCGAAGTGAAGTGCTGCAGTGTCACTGGGTGATCTAGTGTCATCGTTTGGGAAAACTATTTCTGTAGACTAGAATTCTTGGGGGGAAAAACATTTAGGAAGGAGAGTTGTAACCCCAACAAAGTAACATATCCAAGCTCTGAATGGCATTTCCTGAACAAATGGCAATGTTGCTTTTTCTCCTGGGTCAGGGAAAAAAAAAACCACACTTTAATTCACTCAGTCTTTAAAAAGTATTCTTTACATACATTTTACTAAAACATTTGCTCTTTTATTTACTAGAGCTTATATTTGTGACTTTACATTATTATTATTATTATTATTATTATTATTATTATTATTATTATTATTATTATTATTATTATTATTATTATTATTATTATTATTATTATTATTATTATTAAATTTGTGTGTGGTGTGTTGTTCTCAAATCAGTTTAAGTAATTGGTGGGAGTAGAAAATGTTTTAGGTAAATATTTTTCTTTAAGCTTAATCCTAGTAAAAATTTCAGAAAATTTCACTGGCTTTTGATTTTATTGTTCTCCCACCTTTTTACCTACGATCACAAACCATACACAATGAGCCATCTTATTTCTTTACATAGCACAAGAAACATGAAAACAAGCAAACCATAATTTGGTCTGCAAGATTTGGTTTGCATGTTTAGATTTGCCCTAAAACTGTTTAGGCCTCGATACCTGGCAGGACGCCTAGATTTACTCGAGTAACTCGTCATAGTCAGGAAAGACAGCTGAGGGGCCTGACGCCGAGAGAGCCCAGAAAAAAAAATCAAGAACCCGGGCCTTCTCGGCGGTGGCCCCTCGACTTTGGAATAGCTTGCCACCAGAGATCTGCCTGGCACCCTTGCTGGGTGTTTTTAAGAGTCAATTAAAAATTTGGCTCTTTAGACAGGCCTTCCCTCCTGCCAATACTTGATTTTTATTTTTCTTCTTTTCTGCCGTTCACTTTCCCATCTTGATTATACTATTACTGTAGATTTTAATATCCAATCAATCAATCAATCAATCAATCAATCAATCAATCAATCAATCAATCAATCAATCAATCAATCAATCAATCAATCAATCAATCAATCAATCAATCAATCAATCAATAAATAAAATGGGGACTGGGACAGAGTGATTAGCACAGCAGTCCTATACTCAAAAGTAAATTCCAATACGTTCAATGGAGTGTCCTCTCCAAAAAGTAGATACAAGGTTGTAGCCTACATTAACTGCAGTGAGCTTATGCGATAACTAACACGTTCCATTAATTTCACTGGGCAGTAAATACAATGAAGCCTGGATGAAAGTAATTGGCTTGTTCTTCATAATATATTCTGAGTTCAGAGCAAATTATTAAGGCAGGCCTGTGAGGCTTGCGACTCTTCATTTACTGTTGAACTGCAGCTCCTATCAGCACGAGCCAGAATAGGTAGAGATGATGAATGCTGTAAGCTACTCAACCAACTTTAAAGGGTTTCACACTGGGCTATTGCTGCCTTTTACTACAGTGTACAAAGCTGGAGGTGTATGTGATATGGGCATTCTTTGATAAAATGTGTTCCAGATGTTCTTTTTGAAAAACCCAGAATAGAGAAAATTTGCTAATGCTATGTATCGGGTGAATATATTTTAAAATATTTTAAACTTCAGATGTTCTTTCTTCTGGAGATGATGAAGATGACAATGATGGCTCTGAGGATTTTGTGAATGACAACAACGCAATCAGTAAGTAATTGTGACTGCTGAAGTAGCCTGAAAGGATTCATTTAGAGAACTTTCTTCCCCCTCTACCCTTTTGTACTTTCCTCCAATATTTATTTCTTGGCTGTAACTTGCACTACACTATTTCCACTTCCCAGTGTTCTCCTTGTTTTTGAGGTATTTCTGCCCTTTGAAATAAATAAATTATTTTCATGTTCTTGCCTGGTCTATTCTTTCTTATTTTCCTTAACTTGGTAACAGTTCTCTTTCTAACTACAATTTAACACAATTTGTTCTGTTCTAAAAATCCTCTTTCCTTCAATTCTGGATCTAAACTACAATCTCCTCTCTCATGATTCTACATGAGTGATCGCTGTGAAATTGAGATAAACTAATTTTGTAGAAACAAAAATAATCTTTTAAGAGAGAATGGAAAGATTTGATATAAGCTGAGTAGTACCTAACATATTAAGTCCAAAAGTTATGTTGTTCCTTATTACCAGTTTCATGAATCACTCATTTGGGTGGACCACAATACGGTAGTGGGTCAGAAGTATTAGAAACAGATTTTCCTCTGGAAATGCTACTTTTAAATAATCAATTTCTGAGACCCATTAAGCATCTCAGATGACATCTGCAGCAGAATGAATTTTATCACTTCAGTATAGATGTGGAATTACATTTTGAATACGACCTGTGGTATTTTTCATCAGTAAACACTTTCTGCCTTCAGTAAACTGCCCAAGAGAAACATCAGAGAGAAAAGTATAATAGATGTGCTAATTTTTCTCTGTGCAGGGGGCTTTGTTTTTATTTGTGTTTACCATTTAGGAACTTTAGAAACTGATTTCTGAAACACTGTCATTTTTGTTCAGGGACAGCTCATGGACCAAGCAGGAGGTATTTGAGGTATCCTGGGTTAGTCATGAGCCACCTGCGTCTTAGTTCTTAGGTTCTTAACCTGTGGTCTGCAGGTCCCCAGGGGGCTATGATGCCCTCACAGGGAGTCCTCAAAGGCTTGAAGAAATGTTATGCTCTTTCACAATTAAAATAAAAAGAAATAATGAATGAAAGCAAGAAAGAAAAGGAAATGTAGAACAAAACCTTAAATCCTCTTGCCTGTTTGTGTAAAACCTGGATTTTCTAACCTACCATCTTCATTAAAAACAAACAAAAGTAAAAACAGGTTATGAAAACAATTGTGTGATATTTCTGCACATGGTGAGAACATGCAAGTGAATGACACTCAGTGGCTGAGAGAAAGTGCATGACATTTCTTGATACTGCGTAGTCAGAAGATACAGGAAGAGAGAGCCAGAGTCAGTCATCATCAATATGAGTTGAGTGTTCATACAGATGTTGTGATTGTGTTTCTTCTTTGATTTCTGCTAATAAAACTGGTTATTGTTGGGTAAAGTGACTTTTCAATATTATTAGAATGAATTTTCTAACAATACATTTTGGCTGATCCTCAGAATGGATCGCTGGCTGAAATTGAAATGTGAAAGAACTGAGTATGTTGATGAGGGTGCAACCTGCTCAAAGCGAAATGAAGCTCCCTTCTGTCCAAAAATTTGGTGGATGTCTGTGCTCTGTATGCAGATAATGGCTGGAGGAAGTCACAAGATGAGTGTGATGTCAGGGACCAGTTCATGTAATATTGCTTTGTTCCTGGTTCATGTATTCATGACTCCACTTTTGTTGAGTGCCTACGTAAGACAGATAGCAAAGCTGCAGTGACTGTTTCCCGCATTCTTTGAAATAGCTAGTTCTACAGTGTTACATTGACATTTAGAGACATCACTCACTCCTCTACACTGACTTTCTGTGCTGTGTTCATTCACCCACAGCAGTATCAAAAGCTGGTTTCAGGCTGAACAAAAGGCTTGGAACCTGGCTATTAAACAGATCACATGTTTCCTTTTGAACCTGTCCAAATGTTAAGATCTTCAAGAGAGGTCCTTTTGAGAATGCTGTCACCTGTGCAAGCCCCCTTGAAGAAGGCGTCTTTCTGTTTATTAGTAGTGCTCTCCCTTGAAAAGCAGTTTCAGTGGGACCAAGGGCCATTTTTCAGATTCATTGCTAGCTTATGGGCTACACCCCCTATTGGATGGAGCTAAATTGTAGGGTATAGCCAGAGAGGCTAATTTGAATACTTAATTTTTATTATTTGTATTCTTTTTTAAATGCAGTGGTTATGAAATGTAAAAGTTATTACTCCTCCCCCATAATGGATTGTTTTTTTTAAATTGTGTTATTTAGTTGAGAAAAACTAAAAAGCCCTCCTTATGCTTTTTAGTCTCTCTCTATTTTTTTCTTCCCTGCCCAACATTGGGCCTGCAGGGATGCTGGAGACCCATCCAAAAATGGCAAAATTGCATCCCACCCACCCTAGGGACCACAATGAGACTTTTTCAGAAGACCTATCTTTTAAAAATACTAATTTGGGGGTCAGGGGTCCTGGATATATGGGATCTGCAAAGGTGGTCATAGAGGGCCACACGTGGATAACCCCTGCCTTAAAATATCAAAGTGCCATCTAGAGCAGGGGTGGAAGAATGTTAGCTGCCTATATGTTTTTGTTTTCCAACTCCCATAGATATTTTGCATTGGCTATGCTGGATGTAGTTGCTGTACGTGGAGACAAAAACATCTGGATGGTCAAAAGTTTCCCACCCCACTTTCCCAATATGAAGAATTTTGTCAGAGTCAAAAGTGCCAAGAAGGTTGTGTGGAATGGATAGTCAATATCTGTATGTAAAGGAACTTAGTACAGTATTTGCAAGAGGCAGTGAGTTACAGTGTTCAATTACATATCGTTCCTCCTGGCTACGTATTTTTAGGTCCCTCTGTCAAATAATGATGAGTCTTTTGTGAGAGATGGAACTGCATTTCTGCTCAAGTTTGCCCTTTCACAAATATGGCTGTCAACGTTATCTTTTTCTTTCTTTTTCTTTCTGCCTTGGACAATGGATTTTTGTGATTTGTGGTTAGGCCTGTAATTCAAGCTGTTTTGTTTTAATTACTAGAGAAATAGGGTTGTGATTCTTGGAACCTTTTGATCTTGAAGAGAACTAGGAGTGGTGAGGGGGATCCTCTTTTCTCTGAGATTTTTCTTTTGTGGTATTTCTTCGAAGTTTTGTGGCCCTTTTGTCTAGAAGGAATGCCAAACTGCACAGGATTATCACAGTTCCTGCAGAGAATGGCATCTTTCCTGTGTGGGGTGCATCTAGAAAGGGGAGAAGGGACTCCCAAGGTGTGCAGAATTATTAAAATTCCTGCGCAGAAGTGCATATTTCCTCTGCAGGATTTACCAGGAAGCAGGTCAAGCTATGCAAGATGTTGCCATTTTTGGCACTAAACAACCAGTTAAAGACAATTTTGAAAAAAGGTGGGAGGAGATGAGACTTGGTTCTTGTTTTTATGGGAAGCTGGGAAATTTGTGCTGGTGTAGGGAAACTCACCTCAAGGCAGGAGTTAGAGAAACTGAAATTCCTCCTAAGAACTACTAAGCTGTCTGGAAGGAGAAGAGAGAGTGAAGTGCATGAGCTTAAGATGTGTTTTGAGGGGGTGGAGAAGGCATTGCATAAGGTCATGCGGATAGTGCTAGACCTCATCTTAACATTTTCCTGAGCTTTATGGTGATAAATGTATGGATATATCAATGTATCTGTGATACAATTTAGATTGTAAAAAATAAATTGTGGTGAGATATTCTAACTGAGGAAAAATAGGTAAGATTAATCCAGGCCACATCCTGAATGTGTGTTTTATTATTTTCACCTGTTCAGATGCCTATTTCTACTAAGGTGCACAAAGGAAATGGCAGCAGAAGATAAATATCTCAGGCCATAAAATGGAGTAAATGGGAACACCTTGTGGACCTATGGGTCTCCCTGAAAATTGATGTTGAAGGCCAGCATCTGTATGTTAAAGACTTTGGTGGTGTGTGTATAGGCTGAAGTCAAGATTGGCTCTTGTACTTCCCATATGAACCTCCATGAGAAGATAATCAGAGAGGCCCTTCTCTGGGTCTTGCCACTGACACAGGCTCGTCTCATAAAGATGCAAGAGAGGGCTTTTTAAGTGACTGTTCTCAAGCTTAGAAGATTTGTTTGAACCCCCCCTTCCCCTGCCCCACATAGTATCCTTCTGCTGGCATTCCGTTTCAAGCAGTTGTTTGGCATCTAAAATGGACATTTAATGGGATGCTGAGTGGTAGTTATAGTATCTTACTAATTATATATGTTTGAATTCTTCTTTGTTTAATCATTTTTAGGGATTTATTTATGATGTTTCTTAGAGTATATCACAGAAGTGAGTACACCCACTTGCATTTCATAAATATTTTAGCATATCTTTGATTGATTGATTGATTGATTGATTGATTGATTGATTGATTGATTGATTGATTGATTGATTGATTGATTTGATTTGATTTGATTTGATTTGATTTGATTTGATTTGATTTGATTTGATTTGATTTGATTTCTATCCCGCCCATCTAGACCCCAGGTCTACTTTTCATGTGACAACCGAAGAAATGACACTTGACTACAATGTAAAGCAGTGAGTATTCAGCTTGTATAACAGTGTAAATGTACTGTCCCCTCAAAATAATGCAACACACAGCCATTAATGTCTAGACAACTGGCAACAAATGTGAGTACGCCCCTAAGTGACAATGTCCAAACTGGGCACAAAGTGTCAATATTTTGTGTGGTCACCATTATTTGCCACCACTGCCTTAACCCTCTTGGGCATAGAGTTCACCAGAGCTTCACAGGTTGCCACTGGAGTCCTCTACCTCCACGATGACATCACAGAGCTGGTGGATGTTAGAGCCCTTGCGCACCTCCACCTTCCATTTCAGGATGCCCCACAAATGCTCCATAGGATTTAAGTCTGGCAGCATGCTTGGCCAGTCCATCACTTTTACCCTCAGCTTCTTTAGCAAGGCAGTGGCCGTTTTGGAGGTGTGTTTGGGATCGTTATCATGCTGGAATACTGCCCTGCGGCCCAGT